TATAATAAAAACGGTATATTTATAATAAAAATCCTTAAGTTTAAATTGTCTTTAGACATCTTTTTTATCATCATTCTTTGGTTAAAAAGTTAGGTATATAATTTTCAAACAATTTGAATGGACACACTAAAGAGAAGAAGGGCAAAACAAAAAGTCTGTAGTTAAACTATGGAACGTGTCACTGTGGCCCATTATAAAAAAAGACAAAAATAAAATAATTAATGAAATAATTGAGAGCATCGAACCTAGTAAAAGGGGGTCAAAATACTTGCATTAAACCAAATCAGCTACAAATAGATAACAATTACTAAGAATAATTTTTACTATACATATTTAAGGGGTGTCAGATGACCCCTCATCCTTCAACATGGGTCCGCCAGTGGTCCACCATTACTCCTTTAAATAGACTCCCATTCGAATAACCGGAAATGTACCGGAGTTTTGAAGTACCAAAATTTTAGTTAAAATCTAGTATCATTTAGTTAAATTTCGTATATTTCGATTAAATTTCGTATATCTTAGTTATTTCTGTTAATCCAGATTTCGGTTAGATTGAGTAGATCACTTTTTTTTTTGGTTAAAAAAAAAAAAGAAAAAAAAAAAGCGAAGAATTGATCGGTTCAAGTCTGTGGAACTGATCGGTTCGAGATTGTCGAACTGAACCAACAAAAATCAAAATAAGTTTAAAATTACGCCGATGGGTTTTCAAATATTCCTAAACCGAAACAACACCAAATTGATCAAAATTAGGTCCGGTCCTTATGTCCAACTTAGAAGGGGTTATTCAACAAAATATTGAAAAAGAATTCAAAGGAATAAAAAAATAATAAATTTTAAACATTTTTAAGACTTTTACTTAATTATGTCCAAATGACAACTTAATTGTTTGGAATTAGTTCTTCACAATTTTTATAAAATCTTAAATCATCTTCTCGTCGATTTTAAATCATTTTTATAAAATCTTAAATCATCACCAAAATCTATATAAAAAAAAGTTTGGAGAACAACAATATTATACAATACGTACGTTAAACAAGGTAAAGATTGAGAAGTTATGTTTGGTTAGTTTATTTCTTTTTTTTTCTTTTTTTTTTTAGTTTATTTCGTTTATTTGCTTTCGCATTTCTATTTTTAGAATCTTTTGTGTGATCGCATTATTAATAAATTTGTTTGCTTTTTTATGATCTTGACTAGAGGGAGTTTGGCGTCTTTTGGCCTCTTGACCACTCATCTACAAGTACTCTTTGTATAGTTTGTATAGGATAACAAATGATCATGCTACATTGCTACCCAGTGTCTAAAACACAAGTGAAAGGTAATTTTACAAAAAAAAAAATAAATAAATAAAAAATCCATCGATTTGTCTGAGATTTTGTAGAATTGGAGTTGAACACATTTAGAGTCGGTCCAATGATGAATCAAACATTATGCTAAGAAATTATATATGTTAAGTAATCTGCCTAAGCTAAGTTACACGTTATGCTACAAAGATTCACCAAAACTAAACACTACATGGTGCTACATGATTTACCTAAATTTTAAAACCGATAATTAATCCAAATGAAAATAATGTTACATAAGTATCATAATATTACTTAGGGAGTACACATCCAAATATATTTATGTTATTGCTTACTATTTAAAAAGAAAGTGGAAATGAGTGTAAAAATATTATGTGTACGATATAATGATATTATCTCTAGTTTATGATGATCATATTATTATCTTTCTTAACAAATTTTGAACACATTTTAATTTAACTGTTTTTGTCGACAATAGCGAAAAAAAAAAAGGAGGTTTTGATCAGCACATGTCTTTGTTGCACATGTTGCCAATTTCAGTGGTCAGCAGAACATATTTCCTTAAAATCATTGCTAGCTACACGAACTATACGCCAACACATCACTACATATGCAAACTATTTTAATGTCTCGCTAACTATACGAACTATTGGTATTACATACGGACATCCCCGAACTATCATCGGTTATGTGTGCAACACCATAACCATCATTTTCAGATAATATAAATGTCTTGTTAACTACACGAAGTATTTCTTTTTTTTTGTCAACTACACGAAGTATTTTCCATCATTTTTTTGTTTTAAAAAATAATTAAAAAATAAAAAATAACTAAAAAGTAAATATTACGCTATTATAAATTATATATATATATTATAACTTTTAATGCATTATACTTTTAAGTTAAATTAATTTAACTAATTTAATATTTATTATATTAAATTGTTAAAAATTTAAAACAGTCACTTCGTTAAATTATACATCACTATAAGTTAAATAAAACTAAATAATATATCAATGTAAATTATATACCATAACCATCATTTCCAGATAATATAAATGTATTGTTAACAACACAAAATATTTCCATCATTTTTTAAAAACTAAATTACAAAATGAAAAAATAACTAAAAGTAAATAATACACTATTGTTAATTATATATATGCATTATAACTTTTAAAGTTTAAATTCTACATATTGTGGATATAGGATTCACACTCGATTATCTTTAAGTATTTTTGTGGAGAAAAACTCTTGTAAAATCAGAAAATGAATATGAGAATTTGAAAAGGAAATCAACCAAGAAAAGAAATGAGGAAAAATTGATAAAGAAGAAGTACAAAATGCCTTGCGAAAGATAGTAAAGAGAGAAAAATATATTGTATTGCTCAGAAGTAATGAATAGTCGCCTATCCCCTCAAACACATGCGTTTGAGGTTATTTTTATAGAGAAAACATGATCAATGCGGTCATTTACTGCTCATAATCGAATTGATCCGCATTAATCATATAATTTACATTTTGACCGAAACGGCTTGAATTTGAACTATCTTGGGCTTCGCGCGGATCTTCCGAACTCTTTCTTGTTAACTCCGAACTCCCGCGTCTTGACGCTGCCGCGAACCTCGAACAATATTCTCCTCGCTTCGGCCTTTCTCTATGCGAACTGTATGTTGAATAAGAGCGAACTCCGTACTGGTAAAGATCGAACTCTTTTAGTAAACGGAATCGAACTCCTAACTGGTCAAGCTTGATTCTCATAATAAAGTATCTTTAACTCCAAGAGGATTATTATGTAATAATGACGTGGACAGATCCAAGTGGATCCTACCAAAAATGTGTGGGATCCGACCCCAACACATATGCAATATCCCTTATAATTTTAAGTTAAATTAATTAACTATTTTTTAATGCACACATATATTTTATATGAAATTAATTTAACTAAATTTTTAAAAGTGTCACTTAATTAAATTATAATTTTCATTGATATATGTGTGCATTATAATTTAAATTGATATATTATATAGTTTTATTTAACTTATTAGTTTTAAAAAAAAATTGATGAAAATACTTCGTGTAGTTGACAAAAAAAAGAAATACTTCGTGTAGTTAACAAGACATTTATATTATTTAGAAATGATGGTTATGGTGTTTGCACACATAACCGATGATAGTTCAGGGATGTCCGTATGTAATACTAATAGTTCGTGTAGTTATCGAAACATTAAAATAGTCTGCATGTGTAGTGATGTGTTGGCGTATAGTTCTTGTAGCTAGCAATGATTTTTCCTTTTCCTTATCAATTAAAAGCTTCCTCGATGTCTACGTTACAAAGAATTTTCCTTTTTTAAAATATGTATTAGGAATTTAGCATTTTCCTTTTTTCTGAATCTCATATGGATTTCGAAACAGCTATATATAGAGATAGGGAAGCTTAGTTACCTTTTCACTCAACAGAAAAAAAAACAAAGATTAAAGATCGATTATCTGAGAATATGCCTACGACGACGAGAAGATCTCCGATAGAATCTCTAAAACTCCCCACTAGTTACTCTCGGGAGGAGTTTGAGAGAGCTTGCGAGTTCGTGAAGAAAGTAAAAGAGATTGATGAAGAACAAAACCACAGAGGAATCTTCACTCAATATGTCACTGCGATGAAACTTTATCGATCTGGATCTTTGAACATGGTCGAGGTCAAAAACAGAATCACGACTATTTTCAAGAACTGCGACGTTTTGCTCGATGGCTTTTATCGGATTATGAAAGATTCGGATTTGGATTCTCTTCGAGACCATATTGTTATTGATCTTAAACGAATGGTTGAGTTCTTAAAGGCGTTGAGGAAAGAGTCTGAAAGATTACGTCTAGGGTTTTTAGAGGCTTTCGTGAGATTCAAGGAACATAAAGATGGACAAGTTCTGAATGGAGAAGTTGACCTGATGTTACGAAATTACCCTTTTCTGAAAGAAGAATTTAGGATGATCCTACTCGAGAATGGTATAGTACAAGATGAAAAACGAGATGAGATTACGTTTGATAGAGAGGATGAGATGTTCGAAAAAGACATGTACTTTCATTCTATAGAATCAGCAATTAAGTTTGCGGCGGCGGAGGAGGATAAAAAGAGGAAGAAGCCGCCCGCGGGTGTTTATGGAGCCATGAGACGGTTATATGCACAACGGCGTAGACCATTGCCACGAGGATTCATGAGAGATCCGAAACTTGCGGTACGAAGAGTTTTATCACCTTTGCAGTGGAAGCACAACGAGTTGCTCAAGAAGAAGAACAGAAGAAAGTTGCTTAAGAAAGTGCAAAAGGTGAATGAATCATTGGTTGTTTTTAAGTTCGATTAAAAGATTTAGTAGTGTGTGTGTGTATTTTTTTTTTGTTAAGGAAAGTATTTGGTCTACTAGGAGTTTAGAGCTAATGAGCTCCGGATATTGTATCTACTTAAATGCATAATTAAGTACAAAACCTTTGTATGATTGATACTTGCCATTAGTTATTTTGGATGTTACCAAACTATACTTTGTTCATAATTTGGAAACTCATATACCAATTCTCAACCGATTTGATCACAATCTAACCGATGCAAACCAATGTGTTGAGATTTGCTACTTAAATCTAACAGACTGGTTTGAACGATACTCTAATATTTATTCATCTCTCTACGAACTATGTGGGGCTCATTATTGTTAGCTAGGAAATGAATATTTTGTCATAGTTTACAAAACAGAGAGTATGCACAAGTTCAAAACAGAGAGACTACTTGAACATTATAAACTTGCAGTAACACTAAACTAAGCACCCAGAGGCAAAGCTGAGACTATGAACATAAAACAAAATATTAACCAAAAATATACAATATATCATGAAATCTCCCAAGTGACTAGATGAAGCTCAACTACAACCGAAGAACAAACATGCATTTTCAGTGGAGATGATTATGAAAAACCCGCGAAGCCATATCGCCCTCTAGACTAACAAGACACAACTCTTTAGAGAAACATGAGATTCTCAACCTGACCAGAGAAGATAGAGGTTGTAGACTTATCCCCATATCTTTTGTGATGAGTCCTTCTATGGAGACTTTTTTCACACTATTTTTTCTTGGGATCATAATACAGAACATTAAAAAGTCGTGAACATGCATACGAAGTTTTTGGTCCCAAAACAAACTCACCTGCATCAGTGATACAAAAGGCTTGCAAGAACCATTTAGTTATCCCAAGATCTAAAGCAGAAACCTGGTTGGACCATTCATGTTTCGCAGCATCCACTAGAACCCACAAATCGATCTTACCAGTAGAAGCATGTCCAGCAGGTCCAAAAGACATGACAGCAAGCTTTCCCTCGTATCTTGTCAGCTTGATAAGCGTTGCTGTCTTCGGTATTCTTATAAGATCAAAATTTTCAGATCTACGTACCTGAAACCAATGATGAGCCAAGATAAAAAAAAATATGTCCACCAAAATTATAACAAGAAACCTTTGACAGTGACTTATATGTGGTCATGCAGAGAAAACCAAATCGTCGTGGTTTTCATTTTATGCACTTAACATATTTCAGCAGCCATCATATAAAAGCTTCAGAAGGAATGGAAAAAGTTCATAACCATTACCTGCATTTTATCAAAATATCCATGTCGCTGTTGTTCAATGTATTTCCAGGCACCAACATCTACATAATTTAAACCAAATACATGATTCCAAAGTAATAACTAATAAGGGTATCCATGGACTGAATTAGGACAAAGACTAGCTCAAATCTAGGTTTGAAGTGGCAAAAGCAGCATATAAAACTTCTTCTACTATTTGAAAGTTCTTTTGTGTACCTTTGAGGAAGGATATTGTCGCAGGTGCGACTGTACTGACTCTAGGATCTGGCGGGTGCCCTTTCTCTATGATATTTTTTCTTATTGTCAATGATAGCCACATTCAAGTGCTTTGTCAATGGCTTGCTTGCTGAAAGAATATTATTAACCATGTCGTCAAACAAACAACTATTCATTTAGTTGGCTGAACAAAAAAAATAATTCAACACTACCAACCATTGCTTACCCAATGAAGCAGCTAAAGCGATTCCAACCATTCCACCACCGACAATAGCAATGTCATGTTGTTGACCATCGTCACTAGAATTCTTTTTTGCATTACTCTCCATAGATGAGGCTCTTATTTACTCTCCTCCTACGTCTGGAAAAAAAACAAGAACAATTGTCAATCCTAGCTTTATGGAACCTGATACAACTGAGACAGTAAACTTCACAACAACCCAATGAAACCACAATTCCCTAAAATCCCTACAATTTTCGTTTTTCTCTTTTCTCAAGAACAATAGACATTTCAAAATTCCTATCAATCAAAGCACAATGTGAGCTAGGGAATCGATTATAGCAAGTATAAACACCATTAAAACTCATTCTCTCTCAAAATTAAACTCAAACAAGCTTGATATTCAAATTCTTGAAATGAAAGCTTAAAGAGTGTGAGAATGACTTTTGTACCTTGAAATCGACGGAGAAAGAGATAGAATTGGGATTTGGTACAGGAATTAATCGAATGGGCTAAGGATTTCGGATTGAAAGCACAAAATTTCAAAGATTTTGGTGGAGAATTGAGAGAGATCGATGTGTGTGTTGTGAAAGAGAAAGGAGCCGTGAAAGTGGAGAGGGGAAGAAATCGATTTGGGGAAGGAGGATGAAGAAGAGAAAACCGGCAAAATCGATTTGTAATTACACTGGTTCACTTGATTTAAACCGGAGCAGACCGGTCAAAGAGAAGAGGTTGACTTATACCTGGGTGGAGACTTCGCCGATGCACGAGCCATTGTTATGATACGGCTTGTCTTTGGCCGATGGAGAAGACCGCTAGTCTCTCGGGAATTTTCTGCAAAACCAGCCTACGGTCAACACTTGCCCGATGTGATCAAGACCGATGGAGAGCAGAAGCAGTCGGGCTCGAGAACCAACACTTGCCTTTATTGTCTATTAAGAAACCGGACTGGTTTACTAAGAACCGGTGGTCTAAAACCTTTCTCTCGCAAGTCATCATAACACACTTTGCCAAATGAAGCAGAACGAATGAAGTTGGTTACATCACACTTCAAATAAAATTAAGGAATAAACCCACTCGAAATGAAAGTATAATCATTACAAATGTCTAAATTTATGTTACAAAATAATGATGAACCAAAAAAAAAAAAAAGAATCAAGAGCTAACTTGCTCTGCTTTTTTACCACTCTTTTTAGGTTTTTGTTTCTCTTGTTTCCTCTTCTTTGATTCAAGACTAACCCAAGTATAACCTGTAAGTATAGCAAATGGGTCTTGTAAAGTTTTCGACTTTAATTCACACAAATATGCAAAAATAAAAGAAAGCAAAAAGAAAAGCAGTACAAGGGTGATGGAGTGTACCTAGTCCCAAGATGTGGAGAATGAGTAGGAGGGGTTGCTTGAGGCCGGAATTGGTGTTGGTGAACGAGTCGCTCTCCTCTTCCTCCTTTGGCGGCGTTCATAAGAAGAAGCTCGCGAAGCATCATAAACCACCATTTCTTGCGTGTTAGTGCCATTGAAAGAATGTCTTGCATTCGCATCTACTTCCATCGGGCTTGGTTGGTTCTCTCCCATCACCTCTTCGTAATCCGGTGTAATGTTGGAACATCCCGCGTGTGAGAGCTTGGTTTCCATGCTCTTCATTTTCACATTCATGCTCTTCATCTTCTCATTCATGCTCTTCATCCCTTTAACAAGCTTCTTTATCGTTCTCCCGTGCCATGACAAACTTTTGGAGAAGGTGGATGTGGGTGTGAGCTTCCCGAAGAGCCTTGTCCGCTATGGCCTCATCATAGGGCTTGAAGTCATATCGCGCTTGGCCATAAACCGGACTAGGAGGGTGTGGTGGTGAGGATGTTTCAGGAATCTCTCCTCTACGTCCTTTCCTTATAGCAATGAGCACACCATCTCTAGCAACATCATAATGGTGCACATCCGATACATAGAAGTGATGGTTACCGTCAATGCGGAGGGATGTGATAGGGACATTAGGAAGTAACACCTTAGCCGACATACGGGAGGTGGAACAACGTCCTTGGTAAACGTAGAGGTTCCGCTCGGTGCGTCCCGCCAAGAATAACCTTCTCTTGAGGTAGATTGGGTCAATCCGAACAATCTCGTGGTCTATGTTGGTTAGCGCAATCCCTTTTGCCTCTAAAATCGGAGTTACAAGTCCACCCATACTCAAAACGGGAGTGCTATCCGTTGTGGTCCATGCCCATTCTTGGTAGTGAAGCAATTGCCGAACAAAGACCGCCGCAACACAAGTATTTCTTGCACTTGTCCTAATAGGTTTTCCCGGTGTAAGTTCCTTCAAAATTGGTTGCAATCCCGCAAGGAGACAAATTAATTCTTCTTTTAGAACATTCCCGGTTTCTCTTCTAGCAAAAAGTGTATGAGAGAGAACTATATGGGCATAGCGTATGGCGGGATGTGCGATAGTAGAAGCTTTAGTGGCTCCTTTTTTGAGAATGCCGGTACCAATTTGTCCCCAAAATGACAAATACTCGCCGGAACAACCACTAAACTCAAGCTCATCACCCGCTTGAAAGTTATAGATATCTCCCAACTCTTTAAATGTCATCTTGTGAAGTGTTCCTCCAACCCGAAACTCAAAGTAGCCGAGATCATTGTTGGCCCTTGCCTCTCTAGCATCATAAAACTGAACCTTCAAAGATGCGAGAAACTCACGCGTTGGGTTTACATATGTTGGATACGCCCTTGTGAAGAATTGCCCGAGGCCCAAGTTGGTGAAGATGTCTTGAACATCTTCAAGGAGACGCGCTTCTTGTAGAAAACCATGATCCGGATAGCGAGTTGGAGCAAAGGGTATGCTCTTGAGCTTCGTGAGGCGTTGGGAGCTTGTTGGTGGTTTGGTGGGAGCTTTCTTCTTGATTGTTTTCTTTGGTGATGTAGAAGGAGTCTCCTCATTCTCACTTTCATCCTCGAGATCACTCGGCTCAACTACCTTTTCTTTGTCGTTCCGGTTTTTTGGAGGAGCTTTAGAGCTTGATGCTTGAGGCTCGGTTCGAGTTTTGGAAGGCTTCTCTTGTGCTTTTCTTTTCCTTTTTGTTGTTGGAGGTAGCACTTGTTCTTGTTCCCAGCGGTCGCTACTGGCCCGATGGAGATTTCGTCGTAGCGTTCCCAGCGGTCGCTACTGGCCCGATGGAGATGGCCGCTGAAGTCACTGGAAATGAATGCCTTCTTCTCTCTTTGCTCATTTCCGCGCCAGATTGACATACGTCCACTAAATCCGCCATAACTTTTGCATTGCAGCTCTGATTTGCATGAAATCTCCACTATTGGAAAGCTAACTCAATTTAATATAACTTTTGTGAAAAGACCCGAAGCTAAATCTCAATAGAAGATCTTCATCTGAGTCGATCTTTGAGACGTTTTCAACTGGTTCTGAACCTTCTTTTCTTTTCTATCCATTTAAATGTGTATCATCCTTTATTTTAACCTGAAATGGATCAAAAGACATCTCGCCTACGGGCTCAGGCAATAAACCCCTCAAATCTTCATGAAACCTCACTTCTCATAAGACCTATAACCAAAAGCAATAAAAACATGAAACAAAACAAAATAAAGCAAGTATATATATACAAGGATACCATGGGATTGCCTCCCAAGTGCGCTTGTTTTGCGTCACATAGCTTGACGTTTTCTCGCCACTTAGGCGGATTGAGGCTCCGAGAGAAAACCGTGGTTCCTTCCTCGACTTGATCATTTGCCATGTATGGTTTCAAGCGTTGACAATTCATAACAAAGAACACACTTACCACCATTCTTGTTCCTCAACACAAAAGCTCCATATGGCCTTACTTCCTTGATCTTAAACGGACCCGGCCAACGAGAATTGAGCTTTCCCGGAAAGAATCTCAAACGGGAATTAAACAACAACACTTGATCATCCACCTTGAAATCTCTTGAAATGATCTTCTTGTCATGAAACGCCTTAGTTTTCTCCTTGTAAATCTTCGAATTCTCATAGGACGAATCTCATCAAGATCATTCAGTTGGATCAATCTCTTCTCTGCGGCGGTCTTGATATCAAAATTCAAAAACTTAACCGCCCACATGGCCTTGTACTCAAGCTCAACCGGAAGATGACATGACTTAAAAATAAATTTATATAAATTAATTTATAATACAAATTAAAATAAATATTTATACATTATTATTTATTAATATTAATAGAAATTGATTTATAATACAAATTAATATTTAATACTGTATAAATACTTATTTTCATTTGTATTATAAATTAATTTATATAAATTTAATTTATACAAATCCGATTACAAGAGTAGCTTAATCTGATAACGAAACAAAAGATGTACGTGCTCGAGCTCAAGCACATCAATCCAGCTTGTTGTCCTCGAGCTCAAACTAAGGAAACAATTGCCCAAACTCCTTCGAAGGAAGCCAAGAATCTTCCTCCACTACCTGATCGTGCGTGAACCATAAATTTTAATATATTATTAGTTAAGTAAGTGCATAATTTTACATCAAGATTCGAAGTAAGAAATTGACTCGTATCACATCTTTTTTTAAGAACTGGAAATTAAAATTAGGTAGTTAACAACAAACTTATAAGAAAAAATTATTCAAATATCATAGAAAAATAGAAATATTACTAATATAGCATACTATTTCTAAAAATTACTGATATATTTATTAACAGCTTTAGTTGGTTTTTTATTATTAATTTCGAAAATATTAAAAAAAATTCCGTCTCATTATTTTAAATCCACGTTACTAATGAGATGTTATGAACTTAGAAGAAAAATAAATCTCTGATTGCTTTCGTTCTTTTCTATCTTTTTCGTAAAATTGTTGCTTAGGTGATTTGGTTTAAACTAACCATTATATTCTCCGACTTTTTCATCAGCCATTGGTCGGACAATTTAGTTTCAACTTTTATTCTTGTAATTAACCTTATTAATTTCAGTTAACCCTCCGGTTGAGGTAAAATCATAATCTACTTAATTATAAGAAGGTAGAAACAAATGTGAGAGTAAAAAAACGGGCAGACCCAGGAAATAACTTTACCAGGGTCCAAATAATTAGTCATTAGTTGAAGTTGAACTCCGGTAAAGGGACCAAATTAGCCAAATAATTTTACTGACTTAAAGCTTAAAATTTTCAATTATATAATTTAGGGTGGGTCAAGTGACACCCCTTCTCCTAAGGTGGGTCCGCCACCTACAAACTTCCGACCTTTATACACTCTCAAATCCTAACTTCGTGATTCTAAAAACCAAACCCTCGTCACGCTACCGGAAAGATAGAATAAGTGCAGTAGCAGCAGTAGTAGCTCCTGCAGCGGCTAGAAGCATAGCAGTAGTGACTGTTGTACGTTCAAGTCTCCTCAGGATCACATTGCAAGACTTGTCAGCTTCCTTGTAAAGAGAAGGATTGGCCGCTCCTTCGCTGATGGCATTTTTGCTCTAATAATATCGTAGGTAAGGTCAGAGATGGAGAAGGAAATTAGTTGAATAGTTTAGAAGGGTAAAGATGCATTTACCTCTAGCCTGAAGCTCGTCATGGCTCGATTGAGGGTGAGAGTATCACTCGGTGTTGATATTAGTTTGAGAGAATGATCCTTCCATTCCTCTACAAGCTTTTTAAGAAGAGCAACACTAGCTTCTAGATTCTCCTTATAGAGAATCTCCCATTGCTCAAAGCAATCAGCGTTTTCGGTCAAAAGCCAGATAGCGATTTCTGTAGCTTCCTTGGCTAAAACAGGATTTCCTGTAACAGCAGTAACACATTTACACAGCTGTATTTGGGAGCAGAAATTAAACTCGGGTTAAGTTTGTTAGTAACAATACCTTCTACAACTAATAATTTCAAAGACAATTCGAAGATCTCTTCCATTGCGTTGCAACCTGGTGCGAGAGCTACTTTCTTCAACAACGGATAAATGGCCTCAAACCTCTCAGTGGTCTTTGCCCATACAGAGATTACGCTTATGATCAGAATCGACAAACGCATCAAGGTTTAGTTTTATAAAAATTACTATACTACTACTTACCTTTACTCTTTCTGATGATAGAGGGAATGTAAGCCGCACCAAGATCTCAAATGAAGTAGGTGGTATAAGCCAATCTCCATCCCTAACAACTCCATTTACAAGTATGGTCTCAGCCTCTGGATTAGACAATATGCTGATAAGAAAAGATCAGATGATAGTTATATAGCAGAGGAGATCTCAAGAAGAAAATTTAGACTCACTTCTCAACAGATTGCAGGATGAGATCCACTGACTGAGGGCTGCAGCACTTGATATTACCAACTAGAGGTAACAAGTTATTGGCCCATGAATACAAGCCAACAGATAAATCAACTTGGGAGGCCTGTCCACAATTTACATTTGAAAAACATTCATAAAACGCCAAAATTCAAACACTCTTAGTCGCATAATGGAGAAAAATTTCACACGAACCTGAGCCATCGTCCAAACTAAGACCAGAAGAGCGTCCTGTCCTTGCCAAATAGGTCTAGTTCGCAACTGATATGATACTCTAATCAAAGTATCAGGTCTAGTACGCAGAACCATTGCTAAAACAACAAAGAATTCCAACTACAACATAACTGGAGTTAGTAAAACAAAGGTAAGTACACCATTCAATCACACATGCATAGGTGAAAACGATAAAATTGATGTGTTGTATAAAATCACCTGGGATGTGGAAGACGTATGTTGTTGTGGCAAATCTTTGAGAATACGTGTAGAGGCCCACAGTACATAGGCTGAGAGTTTATCAAAATCACGTTGTTTGATCCAATGGACTGATGTTTCGTAGAGAGGTTCAGGAATATAACATAAAGGAACCTGCATGTTTATAACAAGATAATCAGCTTCAAGAATAATAATCTGGCCTAGACTTTTTTGTTGGACGAGAAAACAAATAGCTCACATCGATCAGCATGGAAAAAGGAGCCCCCTTGAACATCTCCACCCATCGAAAAGACACTTGGGAAAGAGCAATCGCAAAATATTCAGTTAACTTACACATCAGGGCCGGCGGTTGAGACCAAAAAAGTTCCTATCAACAAAATTAGAAATTTTAATTTTAGATTATTAAAAATATAAGTGGAATCGAGCCGGTCGAGTCTCATATCCCTGCACTTACATATACTTTAGCGAGGAAGACCTTAAGATGCGAAGAATCTGTTGATGCCGAAGCTTTGAGGGAGGACAGATACCCAATCCTCGCCTCTCTCGAACCGTCCGAGTCAACTTCCACATCGGAAGCAACCTCCGCCGGCTTTTGTTTCAGTTTGCGCTTCCGGTTCAAGACTTCGTTGCATCCATTGCCGACCTGGGAGTTAACGGTAGAGGTCTCAAAGTCACTGGACTCCACGGATTTGGTCACATCCCTTTTCGTTTTTTTTTTCGAACAAACTCTCAGGTCCATTGTTTTCTCTAAAGTTTCTCGCTTTTCTTTCCAACTATTTCACCATCTGCCGTATATATATTATTATTATATATGTTAGGGTTGGGAAGGATCTAGATATCTCGTTAAGAGTTTTTATTTTGGGCTATATTAATATGTAATTTAGGCCTCGGCATTCGGGTATCGGTTCGAGTTCGGTTTGGGTATTTCGGGTTTTGGGTATTCCGGTACTAAAGATTTAGGATCCATTCGGATATTATAAAATTTTGGTTCGGTATTTTTCGGGTTTGGGTTGGTTCGGATAATTGATTGAAGAACCGGAAAATAACTGAATATTTATCGGGTACCGTCTGGATTGGTTACTTTTTATCCAAATGTATCTAAATTTATCCAAATTACCCAAAAATACCCGATAATACCCAAAAAAAAAATATTGATTATTTTTTACCCAAATTTATGCGAAAATACCCAAAAAAAATTAAAATACTAGTTACCTTTTACTAAAATGTATCCAAATTTACTTAAATTATAAAAAAGTATCTACTATATTCGGGTTTATAATTATAATTTTAAGTATTTAGGTTATTACAAGTATACATATAACTACTATATTTAGGTATATGTTTATATATCAGATACTTTCGGATACCTACTGGATATCGGGTTTGGTTCCGGTTCTTTGGGTATAGAATTTAGGATCCATTAGGTAATTTAGACCGGTTCCGGTTCGATTCGGTATCTCTAAATTTCGGTCAATTCTGATTCAGTTCTTTTAGTTCAAGTATTTTGTCCAGGCCTAATCTGTATACAGGCCTGGACGTACAATATATAAGTGAGCATAGAATAAAGCTTCATTTCAAAGTTAGTCAATAACGGGATCATGACATTTGTCTAATTAGTGATCTAAGATTTTAACATATATAAAAAATATAGAAAAGGAAAGCTAACAATTTTATCATGTAAATTAAAAATTTTGGTTTTTAAAGTTATTTAAGTGACGATGACATATGTCAAGTTCTGATTTTAAAATTCCATTATTATGTTATATATCTTTTTAATATTTTAATTTTATTATTTGTACTATTTTTATATTTTACATTATTTAGTTTCATTTATTTTTTTATTTTTTTTCTTTTTTACTTAAAATATTAATATTATTAAAAAATTCCACAAAATGGGATTTGGTCTTGACCCATATTACAAAAGCCTTAAAACGGTTACAAAATGGACCTAAACGGAAACCTAGTTCCGGTGTCGGAAAATTGGATCGGACCTTAGCGATTTGACCGGAAGCAGAGGCGCCTAGCATTAACGCCGGCGAATACAAGGTCGACGGCTTTGTGGCCGGATCTTTGGAAATGACCCATCCCCGAAAGTATTCGGTTTCCGGCTCCAGTGCTGTTCCGGCAATCCACCAGCCTGCTACAGGCTTCCCAACGTGCGTACACCTCCTACGAACGGCTCTCCGATGACAGATCCTAGTCGGAGCGATCTGTCACACTCGGATCTAACACCTCTCCTCCAGATCCGGCGATTTCCGAGTTTCCCAAGCATCATCTCCTCGATCCAGTCCAGCGGAAGCACCAAGGCAACGGTTGCGAAGTTGGTGGCTAAATCCAAACTGTCGCTTCCGATTCCGCGAGACTGAATAGCCATAGTCAGCGCCACCGTCAACTTCCATCGCTACAGAAGCTTCCTTTTTGGCGGCTGAGCCGAGGGCTTCACTGAAAATACGCCGGCGTCTTCAAACCTCGCCGCCAAGTTGGAGGAGCCGCCATAATATCGATGGAGGCGAGGCCGTTGCTGTCGGTGAGAAGGATGATGCTCACTCCCGTTAAGGCCTTTGCGAAACCAAGACCGGCGATGAAGCTCGAGAAAGGGAGATGGAGGCTATCTCACGACGCCGGCAAAGGAGCGGGTGAAGGAGATAGCCTCCGGAGCAGTGAGAAGGTGGCGGCGAAACTGGATCTGAGATGAGAGAAAAGTGTTTCTCGGGCGTCGAGTCACGCGTCTTGGCCAATTCAATGATTTTCTTCATAGAGGGAGGAGATGTAATAATTCTCATAATTTGTAATAAAATAATAAAATCAGTGTTAACAAAAAAAATGGAATAGTGGATCTGGGGCAGATGTCACGCTACGGTCGGACTGCTTTCTCCATTCACCATTTTAATTAAAGCATATTACATTCCTTGTTTTGAAGTGCGGTTCAATTTCATGAACAAAATTAACGAACCACATGTAAAAGTAACCACACCCCATATTTGTGGATGTACAATAATGATTCGCATGTTTTTTTTTTTTAAGAAAAAAATTATATGGTTTATTTTTTAAATAAATATTGTCAATATATTGTGAATTTGTGATTCAAATGCAAACTTGATATTTTAAATTTTCTGATGATGATTATTCAAAGTAATGAAAAAACAGAGATTAGGATGATAGATTTTGTATTTTAAGTAGTTTTTTGATTAATTTTTTAATATTTATGACAAACATTTATAAATGACTATGTATATATTAAATATATTTTAATAAGTTTTAATATGCATAAATATTAATAACATCTCGACTAGTATTATATATATATACAATTTTTTGTTTTAATATGTATCATATTATGTAAAATATTTTATCTACAATTTATTTTTTGACAATATAAATATTTGATATGCATCATTTGATCCGCTTGCACCATTCAAATATACATTTTGAACCGCTAGATCCGTTTGACCCCACTAGTTCTGCGAGATCTGTTTGATCCGCACTTGTTCCGCTTAAACCGTTTGATCCGCTCCGTCTGATCCGCTTTCTCCATTCGGAGCCTAAGGTAGACTAAACCTGTTTTAGTTAAATATGTTAATTTGGATTTGGTTTGGGTTGATCAAATCCGTGTGTTCTATTTTTTTGGTTAAAATTAGTGAAGTCAACTAACAAATCAATTTGACGAAGTTAAGTCAACGTTAACAACTTCCATTAAACTGTAAAACAACGTTGTTCACGACGTACAATATTTGGCCAAGTCAATTCATATGATAAGTTGCTAAAGAAGATGATGATCAAATGTGAAGAAGAAGACACGTTTCTTGTAAATATTGTCATCAAATGTGAAGATGAGACTTTGTGGATGAGTATAGGACTTGATCAAGTACGATTTCTTGAACTCTTTGTTGCGAATAATCGATGCATATTGTTTGGATATGCAGATGAATCTTGCTAGGGTTTTAACATGCAACTTTTTGAGTATATCAGGGATGAGATCATGCGGAATCGGATCTAAGCTTCCTCTGCTTGTTCTCAGGTATTCGGAGATCTTCTTTGTTGCAAGCTTCGCTTTCTTGCTTTCCATGACAACGATGTGAAAAAACGGCGTCGATTTTTTTTCTCTCAATTTCTTGGAAATGAAGTAAAAAAATGATGAGTCGATGAGTTGGTTAAACGCTAAGAGTATGAGTAAACGTGGTGCCGTTTTTATATTTAAAATCATGGAAAATTTGAAAGGATCTATCAATTAAAACAACATAAGGCTTTCCATTATAATATCAAACATCGAAATGACTGTTATCCATAAAAATCATTATTTTGTGAAAAGTTTATTAATTTTCTTGATTATAAAAGCGTGATTTTTTTTTTTTTTGGTAGGATATAAAAACGTGCTTCTGTACATCTAGAAAATTCTGAAAAATGAGTTTTTTTTTTGGGGCTTTTGCAAAAATGCCACTTTTTCAATGCCACTTTTCAAAAATACCCCTTTTTTAAAACCTTATAAAAAATGCTTTTAAAAATATAAGATTTACCCAAATATGTATGTAATATTATTAAAACATACACAAACTACATTTCTATGTATCTAAAATCTTATAAATATTTTATAAATACTTTATAAATGCATTTTAAATGCCTTTAAAAACCTTTAAAATATCTTGTAAAACCTTTGAAAAACCTTAAAAATCCTTTAAAATAACTTTTAAAACCCTTAAAAACACCTTATAAAACCTTATAAATACTTGGATCGAGTCTTCAAGTATTAGTTACAATCCATAAGTACCTTATAAACCTAATAAAACTTTATAAAAATTTCAGATTTAAAAAGAGGTATTTTTAAAAATAGACATCTAAAAAAGGCATTTTTGAAAAGGGGCACACCAAAAGGAGTATTTTTAACAATTTCCCTTTTTTTTTATTATCAATATTTGATTATAGTGGTGCCCAATCTCCAATATATTGTTTTGGCATAGTGCATAGGGTTCACATGAAAAAAAAATCCAATAATTTACCAATATAGACTTTTTTTTTTTTGTCAATGTTACCACTATAGACTATAGTGATGAAAATATATGTTTTTTATTCCCATGTGGGCACTATTCAAGATCACGGCAGCATCATCATTCCAAAGGATAAGTAGACTATAAAACATAACTAAAAAAAAATCAAATAAAGTTTGAAGGTGTTATTTAATCATGAATTTAAATTTAAAACTAATTTTGTAGGTTTTATAATTTTTAAAGTTTGATATTACGTAAAACAATTATGTGTATGAATTTTAAAATCTATGCAGTGTACTTGAAATTTTGATTTTTATAATTTACTTATGAAACTTTAACAGATTTCATTTAAATAATTTAATTTTAAAATATATTTTTTTAAAAATATTTAATTTTGAATAACATTTGATTTTAATGAAAAAATTCAATTCTTATTTGAATAATTCTAGATTTTAAAAGCTATTAAACATTGATTTACAAATATAAAATCAAATACCAGTATATCGTTGTACATAATTTAAATCATTAATTAAATCAAATTACACATCCATTAAAATCAAATAAGTGTGAATTATGGGTGTCCGTGTGAGAAGTGAGGGCCCGTCAAAATTGATTTGACCTTTTGACAAAAAAGAAGAAATAAAAAAAGGAAACATCACGTGACACGTGCCACGCATAGCGGTGAACGCTGCATTACCCACTCCAACAAAAAAAAGCAAACTCGCTGCTCCATCCAATCAAGTCCCTCCACGTCATAGTCCCTGACAGAAGTCAGAAAGACAA